GCCAAAGTAGGTTTACTTAGTAGAATTTAGAGAATAGAGTGATTATTTTTAGAGAAAATTTGGTACAAGTGATCATCGGGAAGAGTTAGTGATTTGCGTACTATAATATATTATATCATTTGACAAAAAAGAATAAAATTAGATGAAAGTTTGTAGTCATAATTTGCATAAAATATATTCACCAAACTTAATACAAATTCATAAAATTATGGCAATTTGCAACCTTAACCACAATAAATCAAAGTCAAATATATTTGATAGATTAAAATTGCTTAATCATTACCTAATTTTTATGTATTCTAAAAAGTCTATATAATAAATTTGTTAACAAAATAGAATTAAATAATTAAATAAATTTTTTTTTAAAAAAAATATCTATAATGTTCTTGAATACAATCTAATCAATGCTCTAAAAAAAAATTATCAAAGTTTTTATCTTATAGTTACAATCTAATGCCTATCTGTACCTCTTGTAATTGTATATTTCTTTTTGAAGCATTTATATATAAAAACAAATCATATAAGACATGCACTGAATGCAAAACTAGTAGAGCTAAAAAGAAAATTTATGAAAAAGTAGCTGATACTAATATTAAAGAAGCCCCTATTGAAATAATTATAATTGATAAAATTAGTGATTATATTTCTAATATGATTAATGGATTAGAATATGATACTGCTCTATTTTCTACTTTTTATGTTAAACTTGATAAAATTATTCTTAACACTGTTGGTGTGGATGTTAGAGTAATAGCTAAATTAATTATTAACAAAATTGAAAAAAGGGATGATTTCAAATGAGCATAAGTAAACTACAAAATAAAAATATAGTATTACTTATCTCAAGTTTTTTTTTTTAATTTTAATTTTTAATTATCTAGTACTACAACTGCATCAAACATTTTATCATGTCATCAAGGTGTTGGTAATACATACTTTGTATATTTTCAAAGTACTGAGATTGCGTATGATACAAAGACTCAAATTATAAAAGAATCGACCATTTTAATTGTAATAGCAAATTAATTATCAAAATTGATATTTTAGCTGCAAAAGCCAAAGTAACACCGCAGCATGAGTTAATACATAAAAGGTCTATTGATGTTGCAATACCTCCAGAAGTAAAACAAGAAATTATGAAAAATCTAAATATAGATCCAGTATATTTACAAACCTATCTTAGAAACAATTTGATATATCTAAAATTATCTCAAAACAAATCTACTACTGGTGGTCCTATTATGCACAAAAGTTTTATAAAAGTGAAAAAAATCATGTTATCTCTGCATATACTTTCTTGAACAGCAACAAAAGAATAATTATAATCTGTGTTTTTGGGTAAAAACTAGTTATATTACAGCAATTAGGTTTACAACCCCCTTGTTTTATTCATTACAAAATGTTCTAGAGATCTATTGTAACACTATATACAAAACCTTCAAAGGATATTTTGAACTCTACAGGATTGTTAAAAATTTTGAAGGTGCTCTTTTTTTCTCTCTCTCAGATTATAGATAGGTGTCGAATTCAAAAAGAAAATTAAAAACAATATATAATTAATAATTAAGTAATATTGTTGTAATTTTCTTTTTTGAATTTTGCTACCTATCTATATTTGAAATCATTATAAAATAACTATTGTTACTTATACACAGATGCAGGTTTTTTTTTGGCTTATCTCATTCTTGACACACCAAAAATTATGATAAAACACAAGAAAAATTGTGGACTGAAGCTCTTGAAAAATTTTTTGATACCCTTTATGGTAAAGGTTTGCATCCCATCTACTTTTATACTGACAAGGACTTTGCTAAAATAAATATAGCAAAAAAAGTATGGTTGGCATGTAATATACAACTCTGTCTGTAGCTTATTGAAAAAGCTTTTAAGAAAAAAATTAGAAGCAAAAATAAAATCAAACGAACTGATTATCAATATAAGGAAGTTGCAAATGAATTTTCTTTTGTGATTCTTCTTTCAAACTTGATCTAAAACACAAAGATAAAGAATACTATATTATCTGTCTATCTAACTTGTATATAGATATTATTAACCTTATTAAAAAGCATTTTAATATGCATCTCAAAATTTCAATTAGTACTGATGGTTAATTCTTATCTTCTAAAAAAATATAATGAAGGTGGTTTGTGAAATATATGAATTTTGCAATACAAATAATCTTGTATTGCTTTGGGTATATTTGTGATATGCCTGATACAAACCTTCCAAGTAGTGTCTCTGGGCCTATTCTATATAGAAAACAATACCTCTTGGTAAAACTAATATGATGATCGAGGCCCATTGGAAAGTTTTAAAACATAATTATCTATGCCAGGTTAACCACTCAAGACTTGATGATCTTATATGAATTATTTGTGCTCGAGTATTATCTGACCAAATTATCTAACTTCAGCAAATTTTACTTGGCAGAACATCTTTATCATGGTTTGAGGACTTTAAAAAAGAATAGAAGAATCTTGTTAAGAAATCAATTGATAAAAAAATTAGTGAACATTATTATATTGATTTGAATTGCTAGATATGTAGTTACCCTATTTTCTTAATAATCATTTTTTAATTTGCAAGCATTTGATTCATATGGTATTAGAAAAAATAGAGTCTGAAAAGCAAGAAGTTCAATTAGTTTATTCTAATTTTAAACAACGAACTAAATATCTATTTTTAATCTAGGATAGAAGTGAAACTCAAAATAAAACTGAAACCATTCCAAACTTAATACCATATGATTCATCTTTATTAGAAAATTATGCTAAAGAAAGTACCGATAATATAGACCAACATCAAGAAATTGAATCTAAAATGGCTTTATTAAATCATTTAGTTGAGTATTTAAATATAGAATTGACAAATAACAATTTACAACATGTAGAAGTAGTTATAAATAACTTAAGTTGTATTTTTACAGTTATTACTGATATAGAGACAGCACAAAACAGATGATAGCATATTTTTACTTGGCAGAGTCAAAGCCTTGGACTTTATTTTTGTCTTAGTATAATAGCGATAGATTTTTTTTGTTATACAAATTTGTTTTAAGTGATATAATACAGCAATAAAAATATACCAACACATGTTGAAAGTAAGAATCAGAAGTTATATGATCAAAAAATTGATTCTACACCCTGTCAATCATGCATAAATAGTTAAATTGATAATAAAAAGTTAGAATGGAGACCTTGTATAAATATTTGTGTTTTCACTATATCAGGATACTAATTTTTAACTCTTGAATTATGATAAAACAACACCAACATATTGGCAATATACTAATCCACTATTTTTATAGCACCTTACTTTTGGGTTAATAATTCTATATTTTACCAGACTATTATCATCAGGCTACAGAAATTTAAGAAAAACTAGTAAATAAGGCTTCAGTTCTAAATATATATATTATTACAATACAGAATTCTTGGTTTCTTTTTTCTTCGATCTTCTTACTAAAATATAGCAAGGCCCAGCATACTGATATCAACAACAGCCAACTTTTTTGCATCAACAATCCTATTTGCTTTAAAGTGCTATTAACTAATTCTAGCTATTCAACCAGATTCTAATTTCTTTATGCATAAATTAGGATCTTCACAAAATTTGTTTTTCAAAATTTATCTAAAACTCTTTTTTACTAAAACTTGCAAATTTGCAACTTTAATGCTACTTGTAATTAGCTATAAAGTAGCTATAACATAACTATATAGTTACTTTATAGTAATTATACTTTATATTTACTATAAGTTAGCAATATATTTACTACTACTTACTACTATGTTACTACTATTTTACTACTATTTTACTATATTTTTACTATAATTTTATTAAATTTTTTTAAATTTTTTATAAAACTACTGTTTTACTATATTTTTACTACAATTTAATTAAAACCTTTTTTGTAAAATTATAGTAAAAGTATAATAAAATAGTAGTAAAATAGTAGTAATATAGTAGTAAGTAGTAGTAGATGTATTGCTAACTTATAGTAAATATAAAATGTAAATTTTTATTAACTATTTTACTATTGTTTACAAAATTTAACATACTTTTTATTATTTTTAACACAGTATGACTTTGGCTTTTCTCATTTTACACAATCAGCACCAAAATATTATGCCAAAATTGGAAGAGCGATATTTGTGTTTAACAAATTAGCTTTGCCTATAATACAAATTATGTAGGTGAGTATTTTATTAGAGATAAATGAGAACTTTTATTTATTTATACTGAGAGAATTATGTACAAATTATCTCTTCTCCAATTGTACAAGAGCAATCTATTATATACAGGTTCAATCATTAGGTAAAAAAAGTTATAAGAGAAATGTAATAATGGTTAAATAGCAAAAATATAATAACAAAATATAATAAAAATAATATAATAAAATATAATAAAAATGATATAATAAAATATAATAAAAATGAAGTAATAAATAACAATATTTTTTTTTTTTGAATATTAATGGTGAGACCATGTCTCTAACTTTATTAAAATTTAATTTGATTCTTTTACAATGAA